TCTCGCTCCCTCCCTCCCTCCCTCTCTCTATCTCTCTCTCTCTCTCTCTCTCTGCTCTCTCTTCTCTCGCTCTCTCTTTCCTTGTCTCTCCCCTCTCTCCCCTTTCGACCCGTTTCCCCCCTCTGCATGCGATTCTGTCTCCCCCTCCTTCTATCCACTCCCTCCCTCTCTTCTCTCTTCTTCCTCTCTGCCCAAGTCTTTATCTTGCCTCGTCTCTGCCAGGCCACGGTCCGACAGCTCAATCCGTAACATTCCACGCTCGACAGATGCGGTGTCCGCCATTCCCCACGTGGCTGGCTGGCTTCATAGCAGCAGCTAGATCTGTGTGAGGACCATCACCGCACGAGGCACGCGTGTCCTGTTGCCATTCACACTCTCCCGTTTCCTTCTCATCCTCCCCATCCCTGCTACTCCTGTTGTTGCTGCTGCTGCTGCTGTTCCTGCTGCTGCTGCTGTTCCTGCTGCTGCTGCTGCTGGTGTTGTTCCTACTGCTGCTGTTGCTGCTGCTGCTGTTGTTCCTGCTGCTGCGGTTGCTGCTGCTCCTGTTGCTGCTGCTGTTCCTGCAGCTGCTGCTGCTGCTGCTGCTGCTGGTGGTGGTGGTGGCGGTGGTGTTGGTGAACGAGGAAGGAGCCGGCAGATGTGTGCGTGCGTGCGCGTTCGTGCGCGCGAGCGAGCGATAGTCTTTCCGCGCGTTCTAGAAAAATAGCGTGAAAGAAAACAGCTGCTGATGTGAGGAGTCGCGCGCGCGGGTACACCCCGACCCCTCACCCACCATCGACCCCCACTCCCCTGATCCCCACCCCGACCCCACCCTCGACCCCCCACCGACCCCCAACCACCCTCGACCCCACCCCCTGACCCCCCCCCCCCCCACCCGTCGATCCCCACACCCACTGACCCCGTCCGCGGGTGTGTCCGCTGCATGTCCCTACAGTACCGCGTTTCGCGTTGGGCGAGGGGAATTCCCCCCCCCCCGCCGCTTCCCTGTCACGCGTTATAGCTCCGCTCACGTAGCCGCATCCGACCATGAGTGACGGCGTCTGGCTGCGGCGAAACTGCGGCGGAGGGGATGGGGAGCGGGGCTCGTGTGGTGTGTCTTGTGCGATGCCGTGCGTGCCCCGCGCGCGTGGTATTATTATATGTGTGGTTGCGTGTGTGCTGTGTGTGTGTCGTATGTTTGGCCTGCATGCCGCATGTTACGCGTGCGTGTGTGTGTGTCGCTGTGTGTGTTGTGTGTGTGTGTGTGTGTGTGTGTGTGTGTGTATCCGTTAACTGAGTAATCCCCCCACCCCCACCCCGGGGGGAAACTGAGGCGGGAGAGCTGTCGTTATATAACATGTCTACTTAGCGTCGCTGTAAGACTTCTGTGTAAAAAGTCTTAACCACGCGTCACTAGATCTCTCTCGCTAAGTAATTATGAGCGCGTACAGTAAGGCAGGTGCCGCGAATTTACGTTCGCGTGCGCGCGTGCGTGCGTGCGCGCGTGCGTGCGTGTGCGGTAGATTTATAAGCTTCTTCCGTATTTCATTCATTCATAAATAAATAAATAAATGAATGAATACATAAATGCATCAATCTATTATATACACACACGTCTTGTGCACGGACACATACGCACGCAGATACATACACGCGCGCGCACGAATTGACGGAGATGCACGCACGCACGCACGTACGTATGCACGCACGCACGCACGCACGTACGTATGCACGCACGCACGCACACACACATGATAATACACAAACGAAGATAATTTAACATGATTTAAGATACCTGCGTTGTCAGCTTGTCGGCTGTCGACGACGATGACGACGACGACGACGACGACGACGACGACGATGATGATGATGACGTTGCCAGGTTCACGCACGGCACGATCGACTGGAGTGATGTTAGCGGCTGCTGCTGCTGCTGCTGTCGCTGCTGTTACTACTGCTGCTGCTGCTGTTACTACCGCTGCTGTCATTGCTGTTGCTGTTGTTGTTGCTGTTGTTGTTGCTGTTGCTGTTGTTTCTGCTGTTGTTGCTGCTACTGCTGGTGGTGATGGTCTAGGACTCTAGGTGGAAGCTGGCTCAGGACGCTGACGCGTTCATCACACACGCCGATTTCCTTTCTCAGATACTGGCTGCAGTCACGCACGCACGCACGCACGCACGCACGCACAGAGAATGAGATGAGCACCACGTAGACGCGATCGTACGTTGACTTGGTCGCGGGGGATCGGACATGAATTCCATTGCCATGGTAACGGCGTGAATGCGATTACAGATCTGGATTTGAACGTTTCTAGATCTCTCTTTTCTTTGATGCGCGCAGAGACGCTGGTAGGACAATCATACAGACTAACTCGTTCCCTCGCGATGGCACTCACAGAAATGAATTACATTATATATACTCTGCACCTATCTCTCGTTCGCAGAGAGAGAGAGAGAGAGTGAGAGAGAAAGAGTGAGAAAGGTGATTTAGAACCAACACCTCCTTCGGTGTTCTTTTGGTTTCCTTTGGGTGTTCACAGACGGGTAAACTACGCTATACATTTCTATTCGGCACCTTCTCCCACCCTCTCTCACTGGTTCTCACTTTACGTGTGAGTCTCTAACACCACAAGAGATATATTCCTGTGGTTCCTACAGGCAGGTTAGTGTATACTGCGTGTTTTCTCCGCAGCTCTCGCTCTCCTTCTGCACTCACCGCCAGACGTGTTACATACATCGTGGCAGGAGCTAATAATGACAAATTTGTCATTATTAGCTCCTGATCGTGGTGACCCATCACAGTGCCTATAATATAGCCGTGGTTCTTTACATGCAGGCACGAAATACTGCGTGCTTTCTTGCATCTCTGTCGAGCTGCTATACTCACTTACGCAGCCATGAGTTACAGATACAACGTGCTTTTTACATTCTTGCCTCTCCTTTTCACTCAAGGTCAGGAGTTACGGATACCACGTGCGAGTTTGTTTTGCATCTCTGGCTCTCCTTCGCACTCACTGGTAAAGCGAGTTTTGCCTCCTCCCTACCTGGTTCACGCGGGGGCGGGGCCTCCCTCCTCCTCCCTGGTTCACGCGGGGGCGGGGCCTCCCTCCTCCTCCCTGCTTCACGCGAGGGTGGGGTCTCCCTCCTCCTCCCTACCTGGTTCACGTGGGGGCGGGGCCGCCCTTCTCCCGCAGTCATACGTCCGTCTCCACGCTCAGCGCGTGCAAGTTATTGTGGCTCTGGTTGCACAGCGTGTACTGCTTCTTCCGCCGCCGCTTCGCCCCGCCTCGTCCTCCTCCTCCTCCTCTTCCGCTGCGAAGCCCCTCCTCCATCTCGACGATGTCGGAGCTACTCGCGAAGCTTCCCGTCATCGAGCGCGCGCGCCGCGTCCCGTCGTCGTGGCGACCGTCGTTCAGCGAGTCGCACGACGCCGCGTCGTCGTCGTCGTCGTCATCGTCGCCGCGCAACGACGCTCCGCCGCCTGACGTCGTCGACGCTGGGAGGCCGAGCACCTCCGAGTTGTCGCTCTCTCGGTGGTAGAAGTAGTTGAAGTTGGAGACGATGACGGGCACGGGCAGCGCAATCGTCAGCACGCCCGCGATCGCGCACATCGACCCCACCAGCTTCCCCCAGACGCTGATCGGGCGCATGTCGCCGTAGCCGACCGTCGTCATGGTGACGACAGCCCACCAGAACGCGTCGGGGATGCTCTTGAAGTGAGAGTCCATGCCGGAGTCCTGCTCGGCGTAGTACACCGCCGACGAGAACAGGATGACGCCGATGAAGAGGAAGAAGATGAGGAGGCCGAGTTCCCTCATGCTCGCCTTGAGGGTCTGGCCGAGGATCTGCAGGCCCTTGGAGTGTCGCGACAGCTTGAAGATGCGAAAGACGCGCACGAGGCGTATGACGCGGATGATGGCTAGCGACGTCGCCTGGCTGCTCGTCGCCGCGGCGGCGTCCTTGTCGCTGAGCAAGCCCGTCGTCAACGTAACAAAGTAGGGCACGATCGCGACGAGGTCGATCACGTTCATGATGTTGCGGCAGAAGACGGCCTTCGACGGCGCGCAGCCGAAACGCAGCGATAGCTCGACGGTGAACCAGACGATGCAGACCGTCTCGATGACGAAGAAAGTGTCATCGAGCGTCGGCACGGTGTCCTCGAGGACGCGAGCGTGACCCGTCCGGTTGACAACGCGGTAGACCTTGAACGACGGCAGTGTCTCGATGCAGAAGATGATGATCGACATGAGGATGATGCAGACGGAGAATATGGCGACGACGCGCGCCCACTGCGACGTCTCCGGGTATTCGAGCAGGCACCAGATCTTTCGCTGGAGGTCGTTCTCCGGCAGCGGCCTCTCCTCTTCCTTAATAAAGCCCTCGTCCTCGCGATACTTATCGAGCGCCGACTCGCCGAGCTCGTAGAACTTGATCTCCTCGGTGAAGACGTCCAACGGCACGTTGACGGGCCGCCGCAGTCGTCCGCCGCTCTGGTAGTAGTAGAGGATCGCGTCGAAGCTCGGCCGATTGCGGTCGAAGAAGTACTCGTTGCGCAGCGGGTCGAAGAACCGGACGCGTCGTTGCGGGTCTCCGAGCAGCGTGTCTGGGAACAGGTCGAGCGTCTTCGCCTGCGTCTCGTACTTCAATCCGCTGACGTTGACGACGACGCGCTCGCAGCAGTCGTCGTACGCCGCGCCCGCCGCCGACCCCGCCCGAGGGCGCTGCTGCTGTGCCGCCGCCGCGGTGGCGTCGTCCGCCGCCGAGTCGACGATCTTCGGGAACGACCTGGAATTGGCGAGAGGCGAAACACCGAAGCTGTAGCGGGGCGCGCTGAACGGGAACCGGTGGTTCGTGAACCCCATGAGGCCACCGCCGTCCATGCGGCCGCCGCCGCCGACGACGCCATCCAGGCCGGCCATCGCCGCCTCCATGACGTCGGCAGGCCAGACCGACTTGCGCGCGCGCCGGCCAATAGTGTCAGAGGGCGCGGGGCGACCGTGGCGCCGCCACCTTCGTCATGTTCGCTTCTCGCGGGATGGCGGAAGCGGGTGTCCCCCGCGTTCTGCTGCTAGGCCATGCTGAGCGGTGACACCGAGAGGGATGCTGCTGCTGCTGCTGTTGCTGCTGCTGCTGCTGCTGTTGTTGTTGCTGCTGCTGTTGTTGTTGTTACCGCTGCTGTTGCTGCTGTTAATCGCTGCTGTTGCTACTGCTCCTGCTAGTATACGAGTACGGTGAGGATGGCAACGGTTCGCTTTCTAGGAAAATCACGGCGCGGCGTTTAGCGTTTGATCTCGGATGTTTCACGAATTCGGAGCCGCTTCAGATAAGATCACATCACAAGATGCACAGACGGGCCGCCGCGGCCTGCGATCACCACGAGCACGCGAAGTCAAAATAAACAAAACGCAGCGCTCCGCACACGCGAACTAGCCGAAAGTGCATTCATCCGTGGAGCAGCAGCATCAGTAACAGTTGTGGTTGTACCTGCGCCGCGATATTGGCGAAAGGCGACCAATCAAAAATCAGTGTCACTCTCTCTGGCTTAGCAAGCGCCGACCCCATTGGCGAGATCGAAATGACGAAGATTTATTTTCGAGATGATGTTTTGGATAAATTTATTTATTTAGACTCGCGTATTCGCATCGTATACTTAGCAGAAATGTTTTTGTAAACGTATGAAAGCAAGAAACCGTGGAAATGTAGCGTAGTAGCTTGTCGCTGCGAAATAATCGATCTTTCGGTGGCAGACGCGCGATCCAATAGCAGCGGCTGTACGGGAAATCGTATGGCAGACGGCACGGCGGAATAACTCCGCTTTGAAAATAGTTCCCACGAAATAGTTCATCTATAAATTTGACCATTATATAGCTTATTGACCATAATGGTATTAGATAATGCATAAATGTAGTTTCTAGCTACTATTACTACATTGAACTTGCAACTAGCATTTAAAGTACAATGTATATAGTATAACAAATAATAGACTCGGGTGCATTTTCACAAGCAGCATGCAGATGTTGTTAGGTTCGATGGCAGAGTGTGCTTTATCTTGTGTTTCGTGAATTTCTCCGTAATTTTACGTTGGTACCCAGTCCAAAGTTAACTGTTCGCAATTCGTAAAGGCGTAGTCCCATACTCTGAGCCATGACGCAGTTTCTACCGCCAAATCTTTTGGCACTTTTCGCACCAAGGGATCCAATTCCCTTTCTGCCACCGGCAGACAAGCTACCCACAGAAAAGAAATTGCCACAATACGCGGGAGTAGGAAATTTTCTCAGTCTTTTTGAGGTAAAGTATCGTTAGTTATGTCTAGTTAAGTAATATTAATCGTATCGCTAGCGTACGTAGTTTCTCTTCGTGAATGTATGGTATTACTAATTAGTTAATAACGACTACACAATTAGGGTTAGGGTTAGTCCGAAATAGCTAAACAAGCCAGGTCAAACAGAGGTCAGGGAGACATGATATACCTTATCTGCATTAGTCTAGTGTTGCAATCTAGACAGGCTGCATAATCTGAACAATTAATGTAGGGGGCCTAGTGCAGAAATAACAATTTAGTGCGTGTTAGTAAAATACTAAAATCAGCAAGAGCCAAAAATTCGAAAATGTAGATTTTATGAAACGATATCATTATGGTGCCAGAAGCACTAACTCAGTAACTGCACATAAAATGAGTTTCATCGTGAGGTCACACAAGATTTTCCTGATATGCGAGTATAGTGAAAAAGCAGGCAGAATTGCTAACACTTGATCGGGCACGAAATGGCTGCCGGTTAATACTTGGCGTGAAAATCTTAAAGGTATAGGCCTATATCCCAGCTGGTTTGTCAACCCACGCTTTTCTGAGGCAGTTGCACTCACCGCCTGAATTTCTAAGCGAAAACTTATAACAAATGGATGCACATGCAGATTCACTTGATTATTTATATAGGCTTTCACAATTCACATGCAAATTGTGTAAAATCCCGCAAGAAATAAAAAGCAATTTTCCTTCAGCAACGTGGTTCGTAAGTCCTTGACTTGAGCTTGACAGCATAAAAGTGACAGGCATCGTCCACGGATGGTAGACTTTACATATATTTTTGGTTATTTCATTAAAAACATTAGTGCACTAGTAGGTTATGTCTATGTTTATTTACAATGCTTGAAAAAAGTGCATAAATAAAATTGGATCCTAGTCAGATAGCTGCTGCCATCTCTTGAGAGAAATTAACAAAATATCTAGGAGATCGCATTGGTGTAAAAGTTAACGCATAAATGTGATATGTTAAAATTAGAAAACTAACGTCATGCATCTATCTATTCATCTAGATTCAGCTCAATGCGTGCAGTTAGCCACTGTCGTAACCTGGTCTCACACACGCACCTACGCCTCACATCCCATAAGGTCTCACACATAAACTTACCTGGTAAGGTTAGACTGATAACATGGTCTATATATCACACATAGACCTGTCTGCTGAGGTTAGACTCATAACATAGTCTATCACACATTGTCTTACCTGCTGAGGTTAGACTCATAAAATAGTCTATCACACATTGACTAACTTAGTATGGCATGCACCTGGTAGGTTAGTCTCGACTTATAACCTTGGCTGTTACACATACATACACGCCTACTTACCAAGGCTAGACTCATAACACAGGCCATCACAGACTCAACCCAGTCTTCCACTAAGTCTATACTCATAACCCAGTCTTCTACTAATTCTAGACTCATAACCCAGTCTCCTACTCGCATTAAGTCCTGACTCAAAACCCGGTCTCCCACTAATTCTAGAGTCATATCCCAGTCTCCCACTAAGTCCTGACTCAAAACCCAGTCCCCTACTAAGTCTAAACTAAATTACTTACAACCCAGTCTCTACTCGCATTAAGTCCTGACTCAAAACACAGTCCCTTACTGCGTCCTGACTCAAAACCCAGTCCCCTACTAAGTTTAGACTCAAAACCCAGTCTCCCACTAAGTCCGGACTCCAGGCATCTAACACACTTACCCGCTCAGTCTTGCGTGGTCAAGGTCGTAACCTCCGCACACCGACGACCCGGGCGAATTCGGGCTGATAGGTGACAGCAGCTGCAGGTCTGCCGACGGCGGCGGCGGCGCGCCCGGACCGGGCGGCATCGGCGTGCTCACGCGCGCATTGTGCGCGGGGTCGTCGCCGCCGGTGTCCGAGTGCTCTTCCTCGATCTCGCTCTCCTCGGCGCCGTAGTGCGGCTCGGGCGTGCGAAGCCAGCTGTGGCCGTAGTTGTCTGCGAAACCGGCTGCGGGGGAGGAGCGCAGAGAGACAGCGCGCTTAGCAAGACGTCGGTAACGAACGGCATCTCGCGGTGACGGTAAAACTAAAAGAGCAGGACCCGGTTCCACAGACGTGGATTAACTTTAACCCTGAGTTAAGAGTTTAATCTAGGTTCATACCAGAGTTAAATTTTAACTCAGAGTTAGGCATATTTAACTCAGAGTTAAGAGTTAATCCACGACTGTGGAACCGGGTCCTGGGGTGTAAGGCACAGTGCTGGACAGTAGTTGTGACACCTGCACGCGCACACCTGTCTAAACTGCCGTTGCAACTAGGGGGAGAGCGCGGGGTGGGAGCACGTTTAATGAGTCGTCGGTAATGAGCAACCCGTAGTGTATGCTCGGTAAAATATGTCAGAGAGTTCACTACGATACGCATCACAAATTCACTATGTATTATTTCGTGGCGACGTTAAAACTAAACGTGGCCGCGCGCGGACGGGGCTCGCAACACCTGCTCACGCACCTGTTGGAACTAGGCTACTGTCGCCGTAGCAATGCCCTCCTAAGAGCGTGTTGTATGCTCGGTAAAATATATCAGAGAGGTTACAGTAACGTGTTACAAGCGATTGAGTCAATTCGGATGTATTCGCAAAATAGTGTAATATTGCTCGAGGGTAAAAAGGGGTACGGTTAGAGTTATTCTCAGGGTAGTGATTGCAGCAGTAAGGGGACGGATGTCTGGTGCATGTCGTTGCCAGGGGAACATGCTCGCACTACGCGATTCGTCGTCGTCGTTGCCGCGGATACTTACACAGTTGTCGTCGTTTGTTGCCGATACTCCACAGGTACGTCAACATGCGCCCGCGCGGCGACGCGGATTTGTCGTCTTGTTGCCGGGATACTCACACAGGTCGTCAACATGCGCGCGCGCGACGCGATTTGTCGTCATCGTTGCCGCGGATAACATAGACAGGGTTGTCAACGTGGGCGGCGACGTGATTCGTCGTGTGTCGTTGCCTCGCCGAACGTATCTTACAACACGTCGTCAAGTGTGTGCAGCGCGCGAGTGCGATGCTTGCCGACGGATTACATAGACACAGCGAAAAAGAATACACGGGAGGCGAGCGATTCCGCGTCCCGTCACGTTTCAAAGCGCTCTGGTAACAACAATTACGAGAGCGAAACATTTTGGAATCTACGACAAAAAATCGCTCCCGTGCGCGCGAGCTAGCGTTACGACCCGTTCCTCAACGTAGACAGCTAGGTATCCAAACCATCCTAGAGCTGCCATGAGAACTCCATCAAACGCATGGTGAATTCCGCCACACACAAAAAACTCGAGTCTGAAAAAAACAAAAAAAAAAAAAAAAAAAAAAAATAAAAAAACGAAATCAAGTGTTTTATATCGCGTAACATAAGTTTATATATCCGGAGGGTTATGCTGTTATTTTTTTTTGATTGGACAGTTAGGGCACGCACCAGTGACGCTGACACGCACGTAATCAAAGCTGTTTTCTGAATCGTCACGTAGAAAGTGGACTGTTTTATTCAGGTAGATATTTAGAAGAAATGTAAACTGTATATACTTGAAGATTCTAGGCACTTGTAACTTTGGGATGTGCGGCAGCATGATAGATCTATGAATGGGGTAGCGTGGCTGGGAGAGAAACACGAAAGTAAAAACCTTACCAGGAACTCCCCTGACATTCCTTAGAGATGATACTATTATTTGACCAACTTAATTAAGTTACATCAAGAGTTTAATGAAGACACTATTTGTCAATGTTGTTAATTTGGTCAAATTTGTTATGCGTATGCTTGTTTAATTCCAAATGTATCTTTTTAACTATTTTTTACTCACTGCTAGTAAATAAGCGACCACCAAATTTCTTGGTTGCAGGTCCACCAACTTTCTGAAGTGGTGGTCCTGCGTCCACTAGATTTTCAGCCGAATTCGAACGCCTGCGGGTGCCGGAGCTCGACAAAACCCCGCTTGCCCGATGGCCCCCGATGGCCCGGGGCAACCAAAATTCTCCACGGGCAGGTCCTTGAAATTGCAGCTTCCCTGTTCGCGGCAAGCAAGTTTTTTTTATTTTGAATGGCTAGACATAACGAGAATTTGAAAAAAAAACATGCGAATGAGACAATCAGTGCATGCAGTCATACTTTGTACACAACATGCATACAGCAACATGTAAACCCGGCCTCCGTGATTTGTCACCATTAGAATAATTTGTGACTCGTCGATTTCGCAAAGCATATCTTGACTTTTGTTTGGGAAACACCTTTACGATAATTAGACACAATTTCTGGCTTATGCAGACATTATTAGAGTCAGTGCATCCAAAATTATGAAATTTTAACAAAATGATGCTATGAAAAAGTAGCTCTGGCCAAGCTCAAAATAGCTCCCGTAAACAAAATTACGAGAGCTCTTTTTTTCATACAAAATCAAAAAAGAGCTCTCGTAATAAAAAAAAGTATTTTTTAGGCTGCATAGACAGGTTGTCAAAGTGTGCGCGCAACGCGATTCGTCGTCGTCGTTGCCGCGGATACTTACACAGGTCGTCAACGTGCGTGCGCGCGCGACGCGATTCGTCGTCCTTGTTGCCGCGGATACATAGACAGGTTGTCAACGTGTGCGCGCGCGACCGTGATTCGTCGTCCTTGTTGCCGCCGGGATACAATAGACAGGGTCACACTGTGCGCGCGCGACGCGATTCGTCGTCGTCGTTGCCGCGGATACTTACACACGTCGTCAACGTGTGGCGGCGCGACGCGATTCGTCGTCCTCGTTGCCGCGGATACATAGACAGGTTGTCAACGTGTGCGCGCGGACGGCGATTCGTCGTTGTCGTTGCCGCGAATACTTACACACGTCCGTCAACGTGTGCGGCGCGCTGAACGCGATTCGTCGTCCTCGTTGCCGCGGATACATAGACAGGTTGTCAACGTGTGCGCGCGACACGATTTGTCGTCGTCGTTGCCACGGATACTCACACAGGTCGTCGTGCGAGTGCGGCGAGTTGAGTGGCGCCACCTCGCTGTGGTCGGAGCGCGTGCGGTAAGAGGCTGCTGCGGAATCGCTTGCGGCGTCTCGCGGCGGTGCGCCCGCCGCTTCTGCTGCAGCAGCCGGCGTCCGACCTCCCTCGTCTCATCGTTGTGGAGCCTAGTGATGTTGTTGTTGTTGTTATTATTATTAATAATATTATTGTTATTATTATTATTATCTAGTAGTGTAGTAGTAGTAGTAGTAGTAAAGTAGTAGTTAGTAGTAGTGGTGGTGGTAGCGGTGGCAGTAGTAGTAGCAGCAGCAGCAGCAGTAGTAGTAGCAGCAGCAGCAACAACAACAACAACAGCAGTAGCAGCAGCAGCAGCAGTAACAGCAGCAGTAGCAGTAGTAGAACTAACAGCAGTAACAGCGCAGCAGCAGTAGCAGCAGTAGCAGGAGCAGTAGAGTTGTCATACTCCGGGAGATGTAACACAACTATAATTTGTATCTGAGACCTGCATCCCTGCGGGTTGTTATTTAGGTCTTTTAATGGGTAAAAGATGCTAACGTCGGAGACAGAGGTTGGTGTTCAAGCGGCCTTTCCCATTGTTGTGGACCCTGAGTCACTGACATTAGTGTTGCATAGATATACCGTACCCTGGGAGAAGTAACTGATTCTATGTGCAGGGGTAGAAATTAACTTTTGAACAAGGGAGTCCAACGGACTCCCTGCCTTCAAAAAGAGGGAGTCTGCGGCAAAAAGAGGGAGTCCGTAGTCTGAAGTTCAAAAATAAAGATATTACCAATAACGCATGTGCTTATTTTGAAGATTCATGCAGTTGCACGTCTGCCAAATTCTCTTTGGACATTTGCTGAAAAAATACGGTAATTCCTATATATGTGAAATCAGGGCGTCTGGCAGTAAATCGGGGAGTATTTGACTCCGGATTCGCGTTAATTTCGCACCCTGTATGTGTATACAGACGTGCAGCATCCCTGCAGGCTGGTATCTAGGTTTTTTATATAGAAGCGATGCTAACACTCGTTCGTGTCGTGTAGAGGATGCTGGATGCACATGTATCTAGACGAGAGACAGAGAACTCGCGTTGGCTTCATCAGGCGTCGTTCAGCAGGAGGTGCGTGGCTGTGTAAGCGCAGCAACTCGTGTGCCCCCGTCGAGTCTCGTGAACGGCACTAGTACCTAGGCGAGTGCTTCTTGAACTATTTCAGTGTCATTCGCATTTTCGAGTCTTTATCACAAAATTTCATTCACCCGCGACTAAATTTCCTTATGTTTTTGGTGCCATTCGCCCAAAAATAAGTTCGTTCACGCTTAGGTGAACAATTCACCAGTTTAAAAAGCACTAGAACCTAGGCTACCATCCTCCAGCATCATGGACCTTCCTTCCTTCCAAAGCTTCCTCAGGGGGAGCTATGGAAGCCTTGTCTGTTGCCTATGAGACCTGCTGTTTTTCACTCTGATAGGAGTACTCGACTCTGTAGAGACTTGGCTTGATTTCTGGTCGTGTGTGTTTCGTACAGAAGTGGCTAGCAAAGAACCCTATGCGACGATTGGATGTGGTGATGTAGCGAGGTATTCGTAGACTTATTAGCAACGGAGATGAATGAGCGGAGGAGTTCGAATGCGGATGCGTGGGAGGACGGTAGGTTTGCTTGTGACGTGTCACGTGTGAGGGAGAGCTGGGCAGGATTGTGTAGGATTCGTAGTTTTTCTAGTTCGTTTAGCATGCAGCCTGCACATGTCACGTTTACATCTTTTCCTCACTGTAGGGGGCACCAGTGTCCAACGGTGTGGAAGAGTTTGAAAGTTTTGACCGGTTCTGGTCAAAAACTTTATAATTTCTGGTTTTTGCCGAATACAGTGATATTATGATATTATTGGTTCTTGGATTCAAGATAACTACACGAAAAAAATTACGATTTACCCGAATTTCAATAATCAATCGCCATTTTGGATGCACTATAGATTCAATTTTCACACACAATGCAATGAAGGTATCACGTCTCGAGCAGGCTAATTACTGTCGAATTCTTCTGCCAACAAGAGCCCTCGTTTGCAACGTGATATGACAGCAGGTCAAGGGTATAAGCACTCCTAAAATCATTACTTTTTTCAGATAAAAAATTCCTATAAAATGGACGAAGAAACCCCATGGATGTCTAACACAACGAAAGCAAAATCTCGCACATCTTCGTCGTCGTCGTCGCCGTTAACCCTTTCCTCTCGTTAATATATTTTTTTTGATTTTTCTTCTCGTAGGATCCGAAGGACACGCCGCCTCCGACGCGATGCGAGACGCGGGACGAGAGAAAAGACCGCAGGGTAAGTACCGTCACCAGCAGCAGCACGGTTAATCACGCAAACATGGTATACATAGAAGCCTCGTCTACACGACGACGCTTAACTCGAGTTAAGCGTCTACACGGGGCCTTGACTCGAGTTAGCGTTAACGCGAGTTAGCTTAACCTCGATTGACTGGCGAGGTTAAGCTAACTCGAGTTAACGCTAACTCGAGTTAAGGCCCCCGTGTATACGCTTAACTCGAGTTAAGCGTCGTCGTGTAGACAAGGCTACACTACCTTAACTCGAGTTAAGGCTCTGTGTAGACGCTTAACTCGAGTTCGCGAATAGTACACAGGGTTCTCCCCAGGATGAAATTCAAACAGGGGGAAGGGGGGAAACTAGGGGGGCCCGGGGGGCGTGTTTTTTTACCGTACCACTAATTAATGCGTAAAATCGTCACCACACCATAGACGGTATTTGGGGTTTTTGTATATATAAGATAGCCGAGTCTGTGTACAGTTAGTGTGGTGTGTGGGACAGGTTGACTGTTTGTACTTGTGTATTGTCTGCAGTGCATGCGTGGCACGGTAAAAATACACATGCGGGTTGTCCTGGTCGAATGGGAATTCTTGACGATCGATTCCCTCGCTGGGAAACTTTTATTGTGGTGGAATTTAATCGGGGCGGAGGTATTTTAAACGGGGCGCAACGATTGAAACAGGGGGGAGTTTTCCCAAACGGGGCGCGCGCGCCCCGTTTGCGCAACGTAGGGAGAACCCTGGTACATAACTCCACGATAGGCGGCAACACTAGTACGATGTACGTACACACGCGCGCACGCACGTGTACTTGCACACGCACGCACACACTCATGCACGCAAGTGTACGTGCACACGCACGCATGCACGCACGTGTTTGTGCGCACGCACGCACGTCTACGTGCACATGCATGCACGCACGTGTACCTGCACACGCACGCACGCACGTGCACACACACGGACGCACGCATGCACGCACGCGTACGTGCGCACGCACGCACGAACGTGTACCGGCACATGCGCGCACGCACGCACGTGTACGTGCGCACGCACGCAGGAACGCATGCATGCACATACATGTACGTGCACACGCACACACTCACACATGCACGCACGTGTACGTGCGCACGCACGCACTCACGCATGCACTCACGCATGCACGCACGTGTACGTATGCACGCACGTGTACGTACACGCACGCACGCACTCATGCACGTATACGTGCACACGCACGCACACACTCATGCACGCACGTGTACGTACGCACGCAAGCACGCACGTGTACGTGCACACACACGGACGCACGCACGCGTACGTGCACACACGCGCGCACGCACAAACGTGTACCGGCACATGCACACACGCACGCATGTGTACGTGCACACACGGACGCACGCACGCACTCACGTGTATGTGCACACGCATGCACGCATGTTTACATACGCACGCATGCATAATAAATCGGTAATAATCGCTATCGGGTGTTGTCGTGTAGACGCTAAATAATCGCTAACTCGAGTTAACGCTTAACTCGAGTTAAGCGTCGTCGTGTAGACGAGGCTAGATATCAGGCCCCTCCCTACGTTGCACAAACCGGGAGCGCCCGCCCCGATTGGGAAAATTCCCACCCCTCCGTTTCAATCGTTGCGCCATGTTTAAATTACCTCCGAAATTCCACCATAATAAAAGTTTGACAGCGCGGGAATCGATCGTCAAGAATTCCCATTCGACCAGGCCGCCGGACGCGTGTATTTTTACCGTACCACTAATGCGTAAATGTCCTACACTACGCATGCGCTGCAGCCACACACAAGTACAAACCCTAAACCTAACCCAACCCTAACACTAACTGCAAAACGACTCGGCTATCTTATATATTATATATACAAGTGTTATAGTACCAAATACCGTCTATGGTGTGGTGGCGATTTTACGCATTAGTGGTACGGTAACAAAAACACGCCCCCCGGTCCCCCTAGTTTCCCCTTCCCCCCTCCCCCCTGTTTCAATTTTATCATGGGGAGAAC